TTATCACCTTTGCACCATTGGGCACGATTTCCCTAAGTTCCTTCACACGGTCTTGAATCATCTGCCGATCTCTTGGCCTTGGCCTTGGATTCTCGCCTGGTTTAGGCCTCTTACGACTAGGCTTGCTCGTCTCATTCGGTTTAGTAGAAAATCCGGTGGCCACACTACTCTCGTTTGGTTTCAAACCAAAACCCTTTTCAGCCCACGGATCAAAAACACAACTCCCCATACTAGAAACCTCTTTACCTTTAGCTGCATAATTTTGTTCACCGTGATTGAAATTCCCAAGACGCCCTTCAGGCAGCAAAACCTTCGAAGCAGAGGAGTTACTAATACTCGTCTGAGTCGACACGCAAGAAACACTTCCGTCCGAGCTCCTGTTCGGTTGACCCTTAGAGACTACGGCATCTAAAAGATCTGTGCCTGTGAAGGACAAATCCTCGTTCTCCATTTTTACGGGGATGAGAGGACATAATATATCTGGAAAACTGATCTTTGAAGGCTCATTTCCTGTTCGGCCATTCAAACTGCTATTACACATCCTTTTCTTGAAATCGGCACCCAAAACGTCGAACAAGTCATCTCCCGATTGGTCAGTGGCATCATGGGAAGTCGACACTTTAGAAAAAATCGGATCTTTAAAACAACTATGGGCTGAACGCTTATCGGGCAGAGACATGCGCGAAGAAAAAGATTGCAGATTTGTCCATTCATTGGATATTTTAGGAACTCTGTTAATGTTAATGAATTGGTTTGGTGAGGTTAAATGTGGGGCAGGGATTTTGGGTTCGCAAGGCTCGAAAGACTGGCCTACTACAAAGTTTGAGGTTTGAAAAGATGTTTGACCGTTGTTAAACGCGTGTGAGGTTTGAGCCGAGCATTCGGCTGAATTAAAACTGGCGGCCGAGTAAGAAGATGTGCTGATCGTATTTGATCTGAGAGGGAAAAGCCCACGAACAAGTTCTTTTGGTTCACGGTTTTCAGATTGCAGCAGGCCTGGTATCTGTCCCAATTCGAGTATTAACGACATCACATCTTTAACGAATCCAATATTCTCTGGGATCTGAGAAAAGAAAAAATATTATGGCTTCAGTAAAAGTAGCTCAAGTCCTCAAAACTAGAACAGAAAGAAGTGAAAACCAAGGACACAAAAACATCAAGGGAACAAAGAGAAACAAAATAATGGCAATAATATCTAGCCATAAAAGTGTTTTACCGTAAATCGTCCTTGATCATCTCGTTGAAATTGTTTAAATCATGACCAGCAAATAAAATAATCTTTAGGCTATTTAAGAACTTTTAGTTCTAGAGGAATCATGCAAGAAAACAACTTACAGTTACATGTGAACCAAACTGGACTACCCCATGAGGAAGAACAGGAATAACTGCAACTGTCTGATAAAAAGAAAGAGGAAAGGGTAAGGAATCAGTAAGTAAAACAACAAAATCTAGGGACATTACAAAGAAAAACAAGGAAAAAAGCAAATTACATACCTTCATGCCAGCTGAAAATTGTTGAAGGGCTTCTTCAAGAACCTGGAACACCAACCAAAGATAAAATGTTCATTCATGCTATGGCCACAAAAACTGATTGGAATTCACATTCATTTAAATAGAGACATTTTGTTATAGAACATCTATTGCGCCTAAAAATGAACTTCATCAAGATTGTTAAAACAAACATTTGACGCTTATATTTATAATAAGAAACCAAAAGGATTAAACTTCACGTGAAATAAGTATTGACGATCGATGAGATAATTTAGCATAAGTGCTTAAGGTTAAAAATGTCAAAACTGCAGGTAAATTTACCTTTGCTTATAATAAATTACTGTCAAAGAGAACCTGGACATACCTCTAGTGACTGGGATTCTCCATAATAATTCTCAGACAACATCCACTGATAGTTTCCGGTAAGCACAACTCTCCCAATCAATCTGGAGAAGGAGGA